GGAGATGGGTCTGCCCCCTGGGGGCGCGCAACCCCCAAGCCACTTCCGCAGCCGGGAACCTCCTCCCTCTGAGTCCCACCTGTTCTGCCCCCCAGGAACAATTTGCCACCGAGAAGCAGAAGGTCGGCCTGGCCTTGGAGTCCCTCTTGGGGCTCCTCCAGGAGATGCAGCCGGTCTGGGTCGGGTGGCTGGAAGAGCAGGAGAAGAAGATGGAAGCGGAACGGGATGGCACCCTGGCCAAGCTCTCCGGGGAGGCCTCCCGCCTGCAGGAGCTGATTGACGGGACGGAGAGGAAATGCGGCCGGCCGGACTGGGAATTCCTGCAGGTGGGCTTGGCTGTTGCTGGCCTCAGGTCTCTCGGAGCAGAGCAGGCGGGGGACAGAGGGCTCCCCGCCATCTCAAGGACTGGGACCCATTTCTCTGTTCTTTTCCCCCTTCAGGACATCGGGAACACCCTTGGCAGGTAGGCAAGACCCCTTCCCCCTCGGCCTTTGTTCACGTGTTGGTTCATTTACTCTTCTTTTCAGAAACTCTTGTGTTGCCAGCCAATTTAGAACTCCACTGCGAGAGGACGCTAACTTTTTCTGCCGCCCTCACCCTTCGGATCCAGCCCCTGGTTAGGCCAGTTGGGGCTGAGGGAAGCCACTGAAACCCAGCTGTTCCAGGAAACCTGGTTTCTTTGTTTGGGATACATTAGTCCTCGGTGTAATGCGACGAGAGTCGCGTTAACGTTTGTGTTGCGTTTGCGTGTTTTCTCGCTTCTTGACTGAACTCTATACTGATTCAGTGTGCAGAGTCAGTTGCAATCAAAGCCTGCATAACCATTTGTGGCAGGGTTCACAACATCCTAAACCCAGGTTTACAGAGCCCAAGAGCTGTGTTCACACGGCGTGTTATACCCAAGATATGTTGGAAAGGGCCGGCTTGTTTCACAAAACCCAGTAGGCCGCCCAACCCTTCTCTCACCTGGCCGCTGTGTTGTGGGGACGCAGCCGGGTGGCTGTGTGAGCCTGACCTCCTTCTGTCGCAGGTGTGAGAGCTACGTTGTAGGGCACATAGAGAGGGTCTCTCCCAAGCTGCAAGACAGACTCAAGGCCATCTTGGAGAAAAATGGTGCTCTGAGGCAGATGGTGGAAAATTACAAAGGTGCGGGGCCCTTTGAGGAGGGGGTGGGTGGGTCCAGGGCTATCTTGGATCTTGGGAGGAGCCTCAAGAGTCCTGGAGTCGGGGAGGGGTCTGGACCCAACTTCTTTCCACCTTTCTCCTGGGGAAACTCCGGGGAGCCAGCCTGGAGTCCCATCCTGCTCAGGCAGGCCTCTGTTCCCTGGCTGGGTGATGGGGGGCTGCATCCTGCCCCCCACCTGTCACCCCCAGGACCACGGCGCTCGGAGTCACTGCCCGTCCTGGCAGGGACTGGGGCGCTGCTCCAAACGGGCCCTCTGGACAGGAGAAGAAACATCGCCCACAGGTGGCGGCTTCTCACCTCAGTCACGTCTTTCCTTTCCTCCTCCAAATTGCAGCGTCTCTGAGGACGACGCTGACCCCGGAGAACTTGGAGCATCTTCTGGCCACGGGTAACCACCTGGGGTGGGGAAGGGAGGGAGGGAGGGAGGCGGGGAGAGCTTGCAAACCGCCTGCAAGCCCGAGCACCAGGGGAGAACCCCTCTTGCCCACCTACCAGAGTGGATGGGTGCCAGCTGGGAATGACGGGGGCCGCAGTGTGCCACTTTGGACCGCATCAAAGCACTGTGCCTCAGGAGCTGCCTGGGCCAGCAAGAGGATGCCATCTATCAGCCACCTCCCCCACCCTCTGTGTCAGTTGCCCACATTCACGCAACTCAGCAGATCCTCACAAACTTTCCCCACCTTCGGGGGTGCCATGAAAGGGCCTGGGGTTGTCACTCCCTACAAGGTGGTGTTTTTCTACAAGGATCACGGAGAAAAATTTAGGAAGTCCATATGGAGTTGGTGCCACAGCAGGCAGAGGTGGGGGGTCCCCCTCGCCCCTTTTCTGTTCATTTCACCACCATGCTTGTGGGGTGAAAATGTGTGAGAGAGAGTGGGTTTATTGGAAAATCCCAGCTGCCCCACATGTGACCCAGACAGCCCCCTTCGCATTCAGGACTGATGAGGGCTTCTTTGAGACCACATTGTAGTCTCTTCGCAGCCCCCCAGCAGGGCTGACTTCCACTGGCTCCAGGGGTGGTTTTACATGGAGAAAAGCGCTACTTTAACTGGAGAAGATACTAAAAACGTGGTGACAGACAGAGATGAAGATTGCATGGGCTTTCAGTGGGGCAGGGTCCCCCTCTGCTCTGCTCCCTCCTCAAGCCAGAGATGGGCTGCCTGCCCGCCATCCATGCTCCCAGGGTCTTCCTGCCCACCCCAACGAGCTTCAAAGTTGGGGAGTTGCAGGCTGCCCCTGAAGGAGACCGTGACGCAGAGGGTCCGCTCCAGGCTTGGGGCCGCGTGTGGCTGCACTGGACAGCCTGGGACAGATAAGGGGGGACCCCTCCTCTCCCCCTGCACTCTCTCGGGGGTCTGTGTGCATCACTCAGCCAGCCAGCCAGCTGCTTGGGCGGGGGGCATTGCAGGGAAAGAGCTGCTGGGGGGGCTGCAGCCTCCAGGGTCCCCGCCAGCACAAAGAGGCCAGGGGTCCCGGCTCAAGGTCCGGATTGGGGGGGACCTCTGCCTTGTGACCAGGGCGAAGCATGGCTCCCTGGCTCCAGAGGGCAACCAGTGTCTCTCTGCAGGAGTAGAGAGCCCCGGCTGTGACGGCAGGGCCACCTTCATTTGCCTGGGTCACAGTGCCAGGTTTGGGGCCAAGCGCTCCGGCTTACCCGAACCAATGATCTAGACCTCTCCTGATTAGGAGATTAGACTTCTCGTGATCTCAGCACAGACACCCTTCGGTTCCCTGACACTCGGGATGGGCGCGAAGCTGTCTCCTTTGCCCTCCAGAACCTTTCAGTGGCTTCTGGAGGATGCTTTGTGGTAGCCGGCCGCCCCTTCCCGGTGGGCACAGTGTTGGTGCATTGCTGGGGCAGCCCCAACGAGTCCTGGAAGAGCAGGAGGGCCTCCCCCGGGGCTTCCCGGGGAACTTGTGCCCAGCTCCATATCTGGAGTGGGTTTCTTCCCTCGCGGGCTCATTGGCTCCCCGGGACCAGGCCCGCCCCATTTCCCCCAAAAGCGTCTCCAGGCTTGTCCTCTGAATGAGCGGGAGGAGCACGAGGATGCGGGAGACTGAACCGGCAGGTGACACCTCCTGGGGTTGGCTTTCTGTATGGGCTGAAAATCCAAGGGGGGGCCGAGAGTCTTGGGGACCCTAAAGGCAGCAGCTGGTGGGGGCACAGGAGCCCCTCCGCAGCAACAGGGAGCGTGCCCTTCCCTGCCACCCTTTCACCATTCCAGGAAGGAGACAGGCAGTGGCGGGCCGGGCAGGTCTTCCCCTGCATGGAGGCGGCACAGCAGCGGGCTCACTTTTGAGCTGTGCTCCGTGGGAAGTCGGGCGGGGGGGGCTTCTTCAGAAATGCCAGCCTGATTTTAAACTTGTTTCCTCCCCAGTAGAGCCTCCGCAAAAGCCAGCATTGACCAAAGGTAACGCTCTGTGGAAAAGCTCTTGGTGGCGGGATGGGGCCTTTCCACGGGGGGGGTCCGGCAGCAGCGCTCTGCAGTTGGGCTGGCGGCCGAGGTTAAGCGTTGCTTGCCCAGGAAGTGCCGCGCCTGAACCAGCCCTGAGACGGCGGGAAAGGAAGCGGGCTTGCCTTGCGCTGCCTGCAGACGTGAGGTCTTCTGTCAGCAAAGACGGCCGCCCATGTGGTGGGCGGGGCTTGCGGACAGGTGTCCAGGGTGAGGGTTTGGCCGGCTCCCGAGTTGCCTGACTGACGGGTCCCTAATGCAGACCTGCCCCGCCACTCGGGTTGTTCTCCTGGGGGAACACTAAACCCGTGACCAAAATAGCGGGAACACGAGAGAAGCAGAAGCACTATCTCCAGGTGCCCTGGGCAATAAAAACGTAAGGAGGGCCTCGCTGGGTCGGACCCCGGCCCATCTCATCCAGCTGTCTGTTCTCCCAGTGAGCTGCTAACCGCCCTAGGAAGCCGGGGTCCCCCAGGCAATGCCCTTCAGAGGCAGCCCCGCTGTCATCGAGGCTAAGAGCTGCCGATCCCCAGGGCGTTTGGGAGTTGGTCCAACCCTTCTTCGAAGCCAGCCATGCACGTCTCCTGATAGCAGATTCCAGAATTGAATTACGTGTTGTGTCAAACAGTATTTCCTTTGGTCTGTCCTGATTCTTCCAGGACTCAATTTCACTGGGAAACTTCCAGTTCTAGTATTTTGGGGAGGGGAAAAATAGGTCTCCTTGCCCGTGTTATCCACACCATGCATACACCTCAATCACGTCCCCTCTCATTCGCCTCCTCTCTAAACAAAAAGCCCCAAATATTACAACTTTTCCCCAATGCCTTTCCTGCTTCTCCGAGATATCAGCGGGGCTATGGGGACGCAGGCGGAGTCCTGAGAGACTGACAAGTTTGGGAAACGTCTTTGGGGCGGGCTAGTGGAGGGGCTCCTTCTGCCTCGGGGCACTCGGGTGGAGGGACCCTGGCGCTTCCTCACCCTTACCCCTCCTTCGCTCACGGCCCGGTTTCCTCCCTGAGGCGTCCTGCTGCCCCCGGGGCTTCCCAAGGGCGGGCTGCCACCCACTCGCTGAGCAGGCACAGCAGCCCCCGGCCCCTTCTCCAAGCCGGTGAAGCGTGCCGTGGGAACCCACCCAGGCCTTCTCCTTTGGCCTCCGCCTCCCCTCTTCTGGCCCCCCTCGGAGCTCCTGTTCACCTTCCTCCTCCTCCTCCTCCCCTCTCCCGCAGCCTACGTCTGTCTGGACAACAGGACGGCCCACCCCCGGTTCCAGAGCCTGCATTCGAGGGTGATTTGGGCCGACAGCTACCAGGACGTCCCGGATGGGCCAGAGAGGTTCAACCGGGAGTTCTGCGTTTTGGGCTGCGAAGGATTCGCCTCAGGGCAGCACTGGTGGGAAGTGTCCGTGCAGGGCCAGGAGAATGCTCGGGTGTGGGGCAAAGTGTCCTGGGCCGTCGGGGTGGCCAGGGAGTCTGTCCACAGGAAGGCAAGTTTCTGGCTGAGCCCCCGCGAGGGAATCTGGGCCGTGGGGGATAGGACCCAGGCAGAGGAGTTCGCTCTTTCGGCCCCGGCTTGGCAGAGGCTGCAGCTGAAGAAGAAGCTGGCGAAGGTCCGGGTGCAGCTGGATTATGAGGCAGGAAAGGTGGAATTCTTCGATGCGGATATTGACCATTCCATCTACACCTTCAGTCCTTGCTCCTTCCTTGGGGAGAAAATCCGGCCCTTTTTCTATCTGGGGAACGCGAGAATCGCCCTTCAACTAGAGGCGCTTCCCTCACGTTCCCCAAACTTTTGGTAAGGGGTGGAGTGCGGCCCTCCTCCACTGGGGTCCAGATGAAGGCATCTCCCCGATTCCTGCCCCTCTGCTCTTTTCCCTGGGGGGAAACTCTTGTTAAAAGAGCCAACACGACTATAGTCCAGTTCTTGAGGGCAGGGTAAGAGCAGCTTGAAGCAGAAGAGGAGGGGCTGTAGGGGAGACCTCCTGGTCAGCCCCGACTCCTGGTGCCTCCAAGGCTGTGCCTGGGTATTCTTGGCAAGATGGTTTCCAATTGCACTCTTGGGTGTTTTTTTCAACCCTCCCGTCTAGTTTACTGTAGTCTCCTTGTGGTCTCTCCTCCACGTGTTAACCAAGTCCAACCCTGTGTAGTTTCCTCAAGATCAGTCAAGGCTGGTTTGGAACGGCCAGGAGCTTCTTGGCTGCCCATGGCTGGAAGACTTTGATTGGCAGCTGGCGCTGGGCAGAAAAAGGGCCCTTGGTGGGAGGGTTGTGGTCCAACAGGTGGAAATAGCACGGAAGAGGAACTCGCATGTCCCGCTGTCCAGGGGGGCGGGGGGGTGCAGCAGCCCCTCCTGGCGCCCGTTCAAGAGCCGGCCCTTCCCTCAGGCGTGCGGCCCAAGGGACCCCTGGTCGGCCCTCTCCACCCTGGCCGGTTCCCTTGGTGCCGCCTAGTGCCAGCTGTGGGAGCCTTGTTACGCATCAGTAGCTTGCCGCTTAGGGGAGGGGCAGATGGATAAGGGGCTTTTTCATCGATAAAAGTTACCGCTGGACGTCTGCATGTTAGTATTCTAAGTTTCCTATTAAAAAAGGCAACGTTTCTGTTTTATTTGTGCCATTTGTCTACCGCTTCAGTCCTCACAGGCTGTAGGCTATTTACGGGTATTAAATAATGTTTTAAGATTACATTTTAAAGTTTCAGTAACAAAGTTATAAGTTAAAATCAAGTAATAAAAAAATGTAGATGCAAACCCCCAACGGCCCTCTGGAAAAGGTGTATTTTTGGCAGTCCTGGGAGACCCTGAGGTGGGGCCATCCTTCCCTTGGGGAAGTTGTCCTATGGGTGGGGGGAACCCCACAGAGAACCTAACTGCCGGGGCCCCTGAGGGAAGGCCGGGGCCCTTGGTGGGGGTGGACGGACAGAGGCTGTTTGGGAAAGGTGATCTTTTGGATGCCCAGGTGCTGAGCCACATGCGGCTTTAAAGATCGTGACCAGAGCTGCAAATTGCGCTCAGAAACACCGGCAGTGGTACAGCGTGGCGGCACCGAGTCTGGCCAGTGAGCACGAGCGGGGCGGGTTGGGTGCTGCGTTCTGGGCCAGCCAAAATTCTGGAGTGGTCTTCAAGGGCAGCAACCTGTAGAGTGAATTACAGTAGTCTAATCAGGAGATGACAAGGATGGGGGTGGCTGTCCTCAGCATCCTGCTCCAGGTGAGGTCACCACTGGAATGACATAACGGGCCACGAGTCCCCAAAGGCCTCCGGGCCGTGAATCTCTTCTCTCTGGGTGAGTGCAACCTTCTCATACGGCAGAGACCACACAATCCTGGAATAAAACATCTGAATTAAGGTCCACTCCATCCTGCTAGGGTTGAGTCTGAACCTGTTTCTCCCAATCCAGGCGCCTGGGGAGGACTTCCACCACATCTCCCGTGGGCCCAGGTGGAGATTCTCACTGCAGTGTTTCTCAGCCACTCTAAGATGTGTGGACTACAAGTTCACACATCTTAAAGCTGCTGAGGTTGAGAAGCACTGATCCGCCATATTACTGACTCTTCAACTGCTGTGTGGTGCGAACTTGAGGTCTGACACCCAGTGGACAACTGGACAAGTGCAACGTACTCCCCGCACACCCACATTCCCCAAGAGCCCCCGCTGGACGAGGAAGAGGCCAGTCTGAGGGGGGGCCAGGTGGAGGCCGTTTGAGTGCCCAGGGCCCGTCCCAGAGGCAGAGAGCGAGGATGCAGCCGCAGCCGGGCTCCCTCAGATGACCCTGCTTGCTAGAGCGTGTCAGCTCTCTAGGGGTGGGAGAAACCATGGGGGACAGGCGGTTCCTCAAATAACTGGGTCCTGTGTCATAAGGGGCTTTGTAGGCGGCACCCTGCCCCTTGAACTGCACCCAGAAGCCAACTGGCAACCTGCGCAGCTTGCGAGGCAGAGGGGTTGCATAGCCATAGTGTTGTGGGCCAGCAACTGCTCGTGCCGTGGCCCCCACTCCAGCTTCCGAGGGGTCTTAAGGAAAACTTCTTAATCCCCCAAGACATGGAAAGACTGGGCCAGAGTTTCAGTTGGGAAACTCTGAGCATCTTAGGCCGAGCCACATCCAAAAATACTACAGAGTTCCTGGAGGCTTGGCATTCAGACACATCAGCCATCAACAGACACATAGAAATAAACCACCTTTACACCCCATTCTGAAGAGAAAAGCTAGGAAGAAAACAGACCAGAACACATCCCCTCCAGCAGCCAGTATTCAGATAAGCAAGGATCACACCAGACAATCTGGCAGAAAACAATGATCAAGGAACCACAAGGAGGAGAACACACACACATCCACAAACTAGCAGGGCAAGCTACTGTATAAAAAGAGGGAGCAAACCCCACCCTCCCTCGCACTGATGATGTTGCCTAGTTGGGTAAGGAAACGTCTGCAAGCAAACCGCCAAGCTCAGAGAGCACCAAGGACTCCATGGTCCAGATTTAGTCCTGGGTGGGATGGCACAATTTGGCGTCTTCAGTTCCTGCTCAAAGCTGTAGCCAGGAAGATCTTTGCACTGATCCATCTTGCGCACCGGTTGGGCCTGTTCGTGAACCAGGAGGCTCTCCACTCAGGCCTTGCCCACCTTGCACGTAGACTTCTGCAGTGCACGCTTCACGGGGTGGCCCTTGAAGAACCCTAGGCGGCGGCAGCTGGTCCAGAATGCGATCTGACCGTGGGGAAGGGCTGGTGGCAACGTCCTCCACCTCCTGGGTGTGTTGCACCTCCCCAGGAAAAACTGGGGCAAGCGTGTGACTGTTTGTATGCACCGGGCCTGGAATAGTTCAGGTCAGAACTGTGGTAGCTCTGTTGGCCATGAATGCTTTTTTCTTAATATGTATAATTGTATTAAGAACTTTGCTTATAATAGTAAAATCTAATACAAACTAAACTTAAGAAAACAAAACAATAGAAAAAAGGGGTAAAATGTGCAAGGAAAAAGAAAAAGAGAGAGAGGAAAGAGAAAAGAAAGAATATAATAAAAATAAATATATAAAAAGGTGACTTCTAGCTGAACATGCTCTCAAGCACACTGGACACAAAATCCTATTTGAAAACACAGAGATAC